TCGTTGTTTTGATTGTGGCAAGACATAATTTTCTATTAATACTCTAAACCAAATTCTGCTTCTAAATTAAGACACTTGCCAATTCTGGATAATTAAATGGATCAGAAATTCTTCAGCTTTAGTGAGATGTGGTTGTTACAGAAATTATCTGGAAGATGGACTATTTTTAACTTCCTTCTATTTAGAGGTTGCATGAGTGATAGCACTTCAGTCAAATTTATAGCTATAAAGAGGGATATTTCTTTTAAATAAACAGACAGTTTAAGCACATTTAACGAGCTGTATTTACAGCTGTCTTCTAGATTTAACTCTAGAAGTGTGGTGTATTTAGGAGGTCAGACAGAAGAATTTGGGTTTATAGAGGACTGGTAAGTAGTAAGTTTTGTGATCCTCCTGTATTGATGTTAAATCCTTATTTTGTATGTTATAAACATCTGTGCTTTTTCACAAAGAAATAATACAGGTTGCCTATAAAATAAAAGGGGTTTTTTTGAGCATTTTTGCAGGACAATTTCAAAGTCATTATCATGAGAATCCAAAAGTCTTGCATAAAAATGGAGATTGAGACATTCTAAGCAGATGTGAAGCTGAACAAGTGTATAGTTCCTGCTGAACTTCCTGCAAGGAAGTAAAATATAGATTTGAGTTAATACCTCTGCTTCTGCTAAACTGCCTAAATAATAATCATTTGATATTACCACTTGTGGTAAGTATTTCTTCAGCCAAGAGTACTTCAGAGTCGGGACAACAAGGACTTGGTGTGAGTGACTATGGTATTTCTCACACACATAAGCCCCTTCCCAAACTTACAGCCTGTGGACTTATCACTACATTAGGCTTTTGAAAGAGTGTCTTGGGACATAAATATATTTGATTCTGACGTTTAGTACATGAGTTAAAGGTACCATTTGCATCCTAAATTCAGAATTAGAAAACTTGGAGAAGACTTATAAGATTCAGGTCCAACAGTAAATCTAACGCTGCTAAGTCCACCAGTAAACTATGTCCCTAAGTACCACATCTACATGCTTTTGAATTCTATGAGTTTTACTTAGTCTTCTTTAAACTTTTAAGTTAGAAAAGTGCAAATCTACATAATTATTATATGCTAACTTTACAATCTTTCAAAATAAAAACGATAAGATGCTGTTGACAAATATATCTGATTTTCATGGAATGTTCTTTTGGAATGGGCTAATGAAGAAAACTTCAGCATGTTTTAAAGAAAAGTGTTTTGTTCTATCTTGAGGGGCAAAGTCCTGAATCTAGAATAGCTTTTTTTTTAAACTTAGAAGTTATTTTCTTAACAATGGATGTATCTTTCTAGTACATGGAGAAAAAAAAATCATAACTGGAAAATATGAACTCTAGAGGTTTCCTGATTTTCCCAGCTATGAGACAGCTAGTTTATTTTTTCAGAAATTTGTATCAAAGAAATATTTTTATTAATTTCCTTTTCTAGAAATATAATGCCTTTTTAGTTGTGCAGAGACTGATATCAGAATATTCTAGGATATGATTTTTCAGAAATGTTGAGTTGAGCTCCTACTGAAAACTTCAAGGGTTTCAGATCCTAGGGGATTTGGAACATGTTGCTTTGTGCTTGAAGTACTTAGAAAAAATATATACCTGACTGTTTTCCTTTTTGTTCATGAAGTAATTAAATATATTAAAAACATACTTTCAATTAATGGAGTTTAAAATGCTTTCAGTTTTAGGTATTTGAAATTACATTCCTGAAAAGGTAATATTTGACTAATTCAATAATTGTTGGATAGGTTTCAGACTTACTTGGTCTGCTGGTTCTGAGAGGCAGCAGAAGGGTAGTGTCAGAATTGATTGCAGATTATTGTAATCTTTCCTGAGCTAAGAGACTTAATAAGAGAGAATGGGGGCTTTTTATGGAGACTTTTTAATTTCAGACTCTTAGTCCTGTGCTCTCCTGCTTCAGAAGTTATCCAAATGGTACCTGACAGTATTCTGGAAGGGGCTGAGAGCTCTAGGAAGCAATTGTTTATGGAGAAGACAAGAGTTGAGAGAAAAGACTCTCATGTGATAGATCCACAGCATTTAAAGCTTACACCACAGAGATCCATACTTCATACAGTCTGCTATCTAACAGCTCAGTGCTGCTTCACTCTAGGCTGATCTGCATTGTGGGGAGTATTTATGCTGCAGGATGGTGTAAAGCAAAGCTGCGTGCTGAGACAAGAGCTTGCTGGTTACAGCTGTGCAGGCCCTAAACCTGGTCTGTAGGTGTCTACATTTTGGTATATAGGAAGGTTTTCACTGCTGACAGAGAATCAGATTTCTCTAGTCCATCACTGGACAGGTGATCTAGTTGAAGTTGTTCCCTGCTCATTGCAATGGAGGTTAGACTCTAGCTGACCTTTAAGTTCTGTTCTAATCCAAACCATTCTGTGATTCTCTTCATGGAATCATAGAATCATATTCTTGATGATTTAGATCTCAAGAGCTGTATCACCTATTTTGGAATGTGGCAAAGAGGAACATTTGGTAGAAGCTGAGTGGGTGTTGATCCTGGATGATTAGACCTTCCACTTTAGTTCTTTCACATTCATAGCAAAGGTAGATTAAAACGTGTGGGCAGAATTTAGTCTGAGCAAGTCCTATCTGAAAACTGAGCCATTTAATTTGAACAAATTTATTCCAGGTATTTTTAAAATTTAGTTCATGGTTTGGGTTACCAAATTTTCTAGATAATCTGTAGTTAAGGTCCCTTGTATATTTAGAGATGTCCTTCTCTACAGATATCCTAATATCTGATGTGTTTGAAATACAGATAATACACTCTGTTCAGGCTGGCTGCAATACCTACCCAGTACTGTTAGATCATTACAGTGTCCTCAATTTGGGTGAAACAAACTTTTGTTTTCACACCTGGAAAGGAATCCTTGGGAGAACTTTGTCCCTGCTGTTCAGTTGGATGTATTGCAGACTTCTAAACATCTCTTGGCATCAAAAAGGGAAGCAGAAGCAGCAGCTTCTATAACAAATTGCTCTGTGGTGTGTCCACAAGGCAAGGGTGGCAGTGGTGGTCTGACTAGAGAGTGGCACACCTGGCTGGCACCAAATTATAAATTTTCTGGTCTTGGAGGAATTCCAAGAGTAGCTAGATTGGTCCTCCAGGCTCAAAAAAAGCTGTATTGTGACATAGTTTCACCGAAAAGTACATTCATTGCTCATCCAGCTATGTTGTCCTGCTGAACAAAAGGTTTTTTCATGCTGTGGGACCAGTGCTACCACGTGAGGTGTGTGGAACCAGCACTCATGTGCAAGGCTTGCTGAGCAGACAAATGATGACAGTTCCAAGTGGTAACAGTAGAAATCCACGTCCTACCAAGAGGAGTCCTGTCTTCTGCAGATGAAGCATGTCTATTTTTTGTTTCAGAAAAATCTCAAGATCAGCATCCTGACAAGCTGGCATCCTCCTACAGTGGAGCAAGGAGCTGTTTTAATGCCTTTCAACTGTTTCCACAGATTTCCGGTGCCACGGTAGAAATCATGTGAGGATGGTTCTGTCTCATCCTCTTAGCAATGTGTGAACAGGCCCTGTTTTGACAGGCTTGCTGGATGTGTGTTCACAGTTCCCAGTAAGGCTCCCAGGTCCCATGCCAAAGACACAGGGCTAAGTACGTCATTCAGATTTGGCAAATCTATCATTGGGCTGGATGAATAACGTGGAGAAGGGCTGCTCTTCACGCATGTGGATTTCTGTCTTAAGGAATGTACTGAAATAGAAATGTTTTCATATAAGTGTCCTGTTTTAGGCCAGTGCCTGAAAAATATATTTGTAGCAGCAACTCTGAGATGTCTGATACGATGGGGATATTTTGAATTGAATAGCTCATCTCATAAAAAAATGTAGCATATCACTCCTGATTAGTGTTACTTTTAACCTTATTCCATGTGTTTCTGACAGACCTTATTTAGGTTTACCTATTCCACTTAAATTAAATGTAAGACTTAACTCACTATTCTCCAATAACAAATTTTTAAGCTTTTCCATGTAAGATTTTCCATTTGTTTTTCAGCCTATATTTTAAAATGCTTTTTCAGGACTTCAGTCCTGTGGGCAAATGATCTTTAAGTGCCTTGAGGAATCAACTCATTTTATGTAATAACATTGCAAAATTTATCCTCAAGTAGTGTTGGAGCTCCATTTAAATAATCTAGTTGAATTCTCCTAAGTCATGGATAAAAGAAACTATATGTTCTGGCTGTACCTTGTGCCCTATTGTTGCTCTCTGTGTATTGTTTGGACTCTTTCCAAAACCATTCCTGATAAGTCTTATGCAAATCCTGAGCTTTTTAACTGCAAAGATTATGTTGCTAGTTAACAGATGTACTTTTTAAAAGTTCCCTTACATTTCATCACAGCTCATACAGCATCATTATTTTTTGAAATATGCCTGTACTCCTAAATCTGTAGTGCTCCTGTGTGAGTGTTATAACATTGCAGTTATAAAACTTTACATGTTGGCCTGGACTGTTAAATTGCATGGATGAGAGCTGTTCTCCATACTGTAATGGATTCAGCTAGTTGCTCTTGTTCCTGCTGTGCTGAAGAGGATCCTGCTCTGCAGTCATCTACAGTGGCAGTCATCAATATGAAGGAAAAAATAAAACTCTCTAATGTGCTCCACTCAGGAGTTTGTCAGATTCTCTCTGAAGTTGCCCAGCTCCAGCAAGTCATAGCCAGTTTTTAACTATCCTTGAAGCATTTCTTTTCTGTAGAGTTGTTCTCTTCCAAGAGCAAATAAGTCATATTGTTTGCATCTTGTATGTTCATGTGGTTAGTTCTTAGTGATGAAAAATGCTCTTCCACAGCAATGGAGTTTAATTTTAAAAAGTTCCTATGGTGGGAGTGGTTGTGCCAAGGTATTAAAATAACTTCCATTGTGTCTCATCTTGCCCCAGAGATAAGAATGTGAAGCATCATGTGGACAGTTCTGTAACATTAATAAAATGTATAAGTTTGGTGTAGCATATGAAGTTTAATGTAAATTATGTTGTATTTATACAAAATTCTCAAAAGTGGCAGTTATGAAAAATTTTTAACTAGTGAAATACAAAAGTATATATGCAGAAGTGAAGCTACCTTGTCGGAATCTGTGGGTATTGGTGATTCCGAGATTGTAGAAAGTCTCTGTCTTTCTGCCCCGTTGCCAAAGAAGAAGCCATAATTCGTCTGTGCTGGTTTCAAGGTTGTTTATTTTTGCTTATCTATAACAAGTTCTGCTGCCCTGCCGCAGGTCTGTCCTGCAGGGCAGCGTGTGGGGCTCTGCCCCTCAGTGGGATGGTACAAACATTATATACAAGAAATTACGTGTACTATATTTACAATAATGTGCCAATATCTATCATCTACGTTGAATAGTGTGTCCCTAGCCTAAACCAATAGAAAAATGCCAACATCACCAAGAACATGGAGGTAAGGAAGAAGAAGGAGGAAGAACAGGATCAGGCCCACTTTCCTCCATCTTAGAACTCCTGACCCCCCTGTACAAAGTAAAACCCCCCTGTACAGGTGTTAAAACCCCCTGTACAATACTAAAAAATTTTACCCTCTAATTTGTGACTACTTTTACTATACCATCTAACCCTCTGTGACTGCTTGTTCCACCTTCAAAGTTGGTAATTCATTCCATGGTTCAAACTCAAAATCACAGCTGTTCTCAGCTGCTTGCCAGGGTCTAAAATGCTTCTGACCAAGGCCTGGAACCTCTAAAAATGTCTGAGGGACATTTTGAGTTCCGACACTACCTATTTCTTTTAAGAATAATCATAAATTGTCCCTTATGTAAGGAAACAATAGGGTGAATATCAAATTGAGTCATGCTGCCAAAAGGGACTGTCTCTGCATATTCTTGCAGCATGCAGTGCTTGCTTAATCTGTTTGTGAGCTCCCTGAAAAAATAAACAGAAGCTAGAGAGCAGGAAGGAGGGAGAGCTGCTGCATGAGTGGAGTGGGGTGATGATCTGGGGAAGGATAGTGACTGACCTCAGGACAGCCAGCAAGTGATCACATTGGAAGGCTCTTGAAGAAAGATTTTCCATCTGTGTAAGACTCCAGAAAGACAACTGTAAGAACTAAGGTGTTCCACCAGACAAAGATAAATGTCCGTGTCAGGATAGCAGGCTTGGATATTAAGGTGGATGTGATGCTGACTTAGCCACACTAGAGGCCACTTGTCTAGCTAAGGGAAACCTATGTCCTAGGGAAATCTGGTTGCTAAGGGCTTATTTTCTTACCCCTTCTCTTTTTCTACCTCTGCCTGTCATCATTCTGTTTTCTTACATAATTTGTACTGCTAATATATGGTGTCTTTTTGCCTTTTTTTTTTTTTAAATCTTTTTGGGATGTTTTGCCATACCGTGAGTTGAAATAAAAGCGGTCTAAATGGCAAGTTGATAACATGACATTTTTCACCCAAAGATGCAGCAGATCTCTGCCAATGCCTTGGCTATGCCCAAATCACTTCCATGTTGTTCAGGTATCCAGAGAGCAACAGATTTGCATGGACTAGTGAACAGCTGTCATTTGCAGAGAGAGAAGCCAGGTTTTTTTGACAAGTCACCACAAAGGGCTTTTTGAGTTATGCTGAAGCACTGCAGTGCAAACTTGATCCTCGAGGGTCCACAAGGAGCTGATGAGATGGATGAGCTGACTGACTTGTCATTGCCTGCCAGTTCCTTAGAATGCAAGTGTGTTTGCACTGCTTGAGCAGGTGAGCTCAGAACTCATTATGGAGTAAGTCAGGCTCAATTACATGCCTAAAGGGGGAGCTCAGAATCATCTTTGAGACAAAACTAAAAGGGAAGGGCTTTGATTACAGTAAAAGGTAATCCTGTGAACATCAGAAAAGAGGGAAGGACTCCTCTGTAACTCAGGAATCTCAACATACATTGCCTAAGGCCATCAGAGGATTTACTACAGTTTTGTTGAGCCAGCCTTCACTGAAAGGGTCAGTTAGCTGACTCCCGTGTGCTGGTGCCTGAAAGATTTAATCCAATGATGAAAAGGTAAAATTTAGTTTTGTATAAAGATGGGACATACTAAGAAGGTACTTCAGTAAAATACTACCAGTTGGGTTAAGCCTGTTGAATTTGTTCTAAAATGGACCAGATTCCTCTGCTGCTGCCTGCCCAAAACCTGTCCCGCCTCCCCTCCTACCCAGAAAAAGGCTGACAAAATATCAGACTCTTTCAGCTCTTTTGGGTAAGTCAGTGATGATGTGTCACGACATTGAAAAAAAGAGCAAGTCGAGTGTTTCTCTCACTTGTAGAGCTGAAAATAGTATTCAGAAAAAGCCAGCCCCATCAGCTTCCAAGAAAAAATAGTTGAATAGTTGATAGGTACCTGTAAGCTTGCCAGCAGATAAGTAATAGTTGCCATAGATTTACTGAAATCAGTTTCCTACCCTGAGAAAGGTATGGGCACTGTGGACAGGCAAAGGCATTTTGACAGTCCTGATAGTGTTTTGATAAGCAATCTCAGGAAACCTCCTAGAGCCTAAATGCAGAAGTGATTGGAGAAATGCACTCAAAAGGTGTTAACTGATCATTAATAAACCCAGAAAAATGTGTTAGGTTAGGTATTTTCATCTTCCTTGTATTCAGTGTTGTACTATAGTAACATTATGATTGGGCCAGGATGATGAAATGTAGAATAGATATAATAAATATGCAAATACTTTAAGTTTGAGGAGGAATGCAAGTGCTGTGGAATAATAAAAAAAAGAATATTTAGGCGTTTTGAGAAATGACAAGAATGGTTGATGTGACCGGAGCCAAAATAAAGAACAAATGGCTACTGGGTCTAGCTTAGAAATTTCTCTGAAAATTACTGTGCATTACAAGATGAACAAGTACAGTTTGTGGCTACAGTTTTTTTTCAGTCCTCAACAAATTTATGGGAACACATAACTGGTTAGCTGACCTTCAAGAACTGCGAAATCATTTTTCCACTTGAAAATGTTAAGACTTGACCAGGAGGAATACATCCTGCTGCTCTGGTATAGCCTTTAAGAACCCTGAGAGTAAATCAGATAAAATTCTTGGGAGGGTAACAGGAATGATTAGGTGTCAAGACATGACTTGGAGGCACAGGCTGGATGAACTTCTAGAATAAGTATTCTAGAACTGTGAACTCTTTTGCACGAACCGTGAACTTTTGGAATATGTTTTTTAAGAATGTTACGGAGTTTTTCATGAATGTTCTATGTCTAACCTGTTCTTACGCTTTTTTTAGAAGAAAGGTGCCTATCTCAAAGCACTGCAAAATCCTGCATTATGCTTCCAAATGCTTGTGCTGTTAAAGGCAGTCTTGCAGACATGCTAACCAGCACACATTAGAGTCTCTATCTCTAACTAACGTCTGTCTTGTGAAGGTCTCTTCTTCATGAACGCTTCTAACCTGCTGTTCAAGATTTTCTGATAGTGTCTCTCTCTTCTGTTTATACTCTTCTTACAGGCAAGAGTATAAAGGTGTATTGGTTTGGCACGGCCTGGTTTTTGGTAGCAGCGGAGCCACAAAGATGGCTCCTGTGGGAAGCTGCTTGAAGCTTCCCACCTCATCAGGCAGAGCAAATCCCTGATGACACTGAAGATGGACATGCTGCTGGCCAAAGCTGAGCTAATGAGAAAGGTTGGGAATGCCTCTGTGATGACATATTTAAGAAAACAATTAAAACAAAAGTCATAGGTTTTGCTTCTAGTCAGAGAAGAGAAGGAGGTGAGAACATGTGAGGCAAACAATATGGAAACACCAAGGTCAGTGGAGAAGGAGGGGAGGAGATGCTCCAGGCTCCAGAGCCGAGATTCCTCTCAGGCTGTGGTGAGACCATGGTGAGGCAGCTGTGCCCCCGCAGCCCATGGGGATCCACGGGAGGTGCAGAGATCCACCCACAGCTCATGGGGGAGGTGCCCATGCTGGAGTGGATGGATGCCTGGAGGAGGCTGTGGTCCACTGGGAGACCCAGTGGAGAGAGAGGGCCCTTGTTTGCAGGCTGGAGCAGCTTGTCCTTGGAGGACTGCATCCCGTGGAAGAGAGACCCACGTCACAGCAGGTTTGGGAGGACTGCGTGCCCATGGGAGGGACTCACGTTTACAGCAGGTGAGATCTGGCTGCTGCTCATGAGGGTGGACCACACTGGAGAACTTCACAGAGAGCTGCCTCCCATGGGAGGGACCCCACAGCCTCACAGGGGAATGACTGGTCTCACAGAGTGGCAGAGGAAAATCTCTTGTGATGAGCTGACCAAAACCCCCATGCCCTGTCATCCTGCACTGTTGGTGGGAAGGAGGGAGGGGCTGGGGAGAAGAAAGTGTTATAAGGGCTTATTTTGCTTCTCATTGTCCTCATCTGACTCTGTTAGTAATGAATTTCACTTTGCAACTAAAGTTGAACCTGTTTTGCCCTTCAGATATTTCTCATGGTCCTCATCTCACTCATGAAGTGAGTTTCCCTCTTGCCCTGCTGTGGCAGGAAAGGGTGAGCAACCAACTTTGCTGGGTGCCTGGTGCTGGGCCAGTGTCAAACCACGACAAAAGAAGATTGGACAATAATTGTTAGTTGGACTATAATTTATAGCACAGTGGTATTTTCATGGGGATTTAAAGCATTTATAGCTGTATAAGTTATGTGTGTTTCAGAGGTTGAATTCACACTATAGAAAAAAGTGGCCCATTTAATGTTAACGTCCCATTTTACTTCTTTATTCAACAAGAAATTTATCATTTTTTCAGATATTGTCTAGAAGCAAATGAAGAAAAGATTGCACCTGTGACTTCCACTGATTTCTCTTTAAGAAGGAAAAGCAAGGCTGAATATCCACTGCTGGTGACTGCCAAGATAAACTGGGGCAAAAATAAATCTTTGAAAAGCTGTAAATCAATTTCAGTGACAAAAAAATCACTCATGGAAACAGGCTGTTTTGTGACAGAATTTCTGAAAGTTAAGCAAATAATGTAGAGCAAGTCAAAATGTGATAGTGTGCTGCACTTAAGAGGTACACCATCCCCCTCCCTCCCCCTCCCCCTGTTAATTAGCACTCATGTTCCTGTTTTTACATTAGAACACAGATAGTGAGAGCTATTCAGTTAAAGATAGCAAGATGTTATCCATAGAACCAAGTATACAAGAAAAGCACAGGAAAATGCTGTGGAAGAAAATGCAACTGATTGAATGACTTACTCTTGACAGGTTAAATATTAATCTTCACTGTCTGTGCATTGCTTGAATATAGGCTTGACTGTATGTTCCGGGCTTTTCTTGGGAATTGAGTTCAAGGTTTGTATTTTTTTTTTTTTTTTTGACTCCTTGTTGTACCCCTGTGAAAGGCAGATAATGACACTTTCCATCTTTTCTGGAATTTCTTTTCTTCAGGCCCCTGATTTTCATCAGCCCTAATGCAAAAGAAAGGTAAAGAACACAGTGAGAGCTGTAGTGTGGGTCACACCAAACATTTTTCTAGGCCATAATTTTGAAAACTCAGAGATGATGATAATAATGTCTAATACTTTCTAAAACATCTCAATATCCACTGATTCAGTTGGGTTTTGCCTTCCCTCTCCTTTTCCACACAGAATTCTTGTCTTCTTTCTCTTTTCACTTTCTTTGCGCTTCCTCTTGTGACTCTTGTGTACTGAAATTTTTTTGTGATTATTATCAAGAAACGTGTCTCTCACTTTATCCCAGACTTTGTCATTTGAGTCTTCTACATTTGGTAATTTGAACCTATTTTTATTTCATGTACTGATTTTTTTCAAGTTTCAGGCTGCTGAACAGCTCATGATTTCTCATCCTTTGTCTGCTAAAGGATTTTTTTTTTTCCTACTTGTGTTTTTGCTATCATTCTGTAGTAACGGGAAAAATCTCCCCCCACCCCACCCTATCC